AGTTTCATGATAATAGGAACTTTAGACCGACCTTTCCTGATAACGTCAACTACGGCTGCATTGTCACAATTGAATAAAACACGTTTCCTAATTCAGGAATGACCCCATAAAACACATACCATCACAATTGGGTACAGTTCGTAGAATGCCATTGATACTCTCTCATTAGTCAGGTCTGGAAAATTTCCCTGGAACCATTTGTTGTTATAATAACCTGCAAAGGACTGTTCAGTGGAGTCTGTAAAAAGCTGTAAATCTGCTGCTGATGTTATATCATCGTCTAAGAAAAAAGAAACACCATTCCATCCTTGGAGAAACATATGCCACATACTGAGATCTACTCTACACTCTGCACTTATCTTTACATGATGATGAAGTTCTTTCACTGTTGTAGAAAGGGCAATAAGGTATGACACGAATGAACGACCAGGTACGATGATTCTGGCAGCACAATTAAAATGTCCCAACAAACTCAGTAACTCACGTTTGGTACACGATTTCCTAGTATGAAAAGAGTCCATTATCTCCATGATCCGAACACGTTTTTCGTATGGCAACCTAGCCTCCATCTTATCAGAGTCCAGATAAATGCCTAAGTATTCTAAATCTGTTGTCGGTCCCACAGTCTTGTGTGTAGCTAGTGGAATACCGAGATTTTGAAAGATACTTAAAAAGGTCTCCATGATGACTGGTGCGTTGTCTTGTGGCCTGCAGGTGACAATGAGAAAATCGTCCAATAAATGGAGAACATTCTTAATGTTGTAATTGTGCTCTGCTAACCAACAAATGGCTTGCGATAGTTGGTCAAAAATCTTTGGACTAGATCTGCTACCAAATAAAAGTCGAGTATAAAGTAGTAAAAATTGTTCCACCAAATACCATGAAAAGGCCACAGGGAGGGGTGTATGGGGATGAGTTTGAACGCATCCGAAATGTCCGTTTTTTCCCATCTGCCTTGACCCATAGTCTTTATCACTTGTATAGCTTTGTCGATAGTTACGTACTGTAGGGAATACTCGTATTTGTCAATCAATTCGTTTAAACTCGGATTTTCTTCGTCGTTGTGAGGTGCAGACAAATCAACTATAAGACGTTTCTTCTTCGAGTATTTTCCTTCGTCTACTCCTATGGGATTAATGCGGTAATGTTTGAAAGGGATGTCTGTATATGGCCCTTGAAGAAATCCCTTTTCCAATTCTTTATTAACCAATGTAGTAGTAGCTTGTTGCTGAGATCTAGCCGACAAAAGATTTCGACATTCAATCGAGTTAGTAGGTAACTGTTTAATTCCCGTCATGAAACCATCTTTTAGGCCCGAAAGAAGATAATGCTTGAATTTAACATCTGGATGTGAAATTAACTCTTGATTCTTAAAGTTCAATGTCGATGGGTGTATTGAGCTGACAAGTGTTTCGATGGCTCTCCTCGCACGACTTTACATATGTCCCGCCCCCTGTTCTTGACGGGGGCCCAGTCCATTTTTTGTCATTTGCATGGGGCAATACACTTTAGAGTGGTCCTTTTTGCATGTCACACAAATATGTATATTGTTACAGCGGACATTCTGACACCCTCTGTCGCTGTTGAAGTTGTTGCAAATTTATTTGCCCTGATGGAACATTCGATATCTTCCATGCACATCTGTGGGGGAATCAGCGTATCTGTTCAAGCTGTTTGAAGATTTGGTTGCATTGGTAGTCGTATTTGGACAGAAGTTGGTAGTGTGTGCTGTACAGCTGACAGCTGTTTGGTTTGAGGTTAGAAAAGATATTGCAGAATAAAGTGTTGTTCCTAATTGACCGATCCACAAGAATATTCTGGTATCTCAAATGCGCTACAGCTCTTTTGGCGAATTGGCAGTGGTACTCATAAAACCCTTTCCCATGGTATCGGGTGGCCATATCGAGAATGTCCCTTTCGTAGAGGTCCATTTCTACTCTCCTAGATGGATACACTGAGCATAGGATGTTTTTATAATGCCGAATGCCTGAATAAACTCAGCGATGGTGAGTGACCTAGTTAATCTTGGGTCTTGTTTCTCTGACGTTGTAGAGAGGCAATTGAAATAAGGAATTAAGGGGCAGGCTAAATTTATATCCTTACCCTCAAAGATCAGTTCCTGATTGTCGGAGATATTGTCTCAATGAAAGGAAAAGATTCCACCGCATATCCGTATGTAGTCCTCACGTACGGTGTTTGCTGCTCTGAAGCTGGCGTCGCTCCGGTCTCGTTATTCAACGCTGTCATCGCCGTCTGAATGGTGAAATGTTGTGATTCCGCCAGCTGCGCTTCGCTTCCCGCCGCTGCTGACACCGTCCGGGTGTGTAAAGCGGCATGGTTTATTCCTGATACTGTGGTAGTTGATGAAGGAATGGCAGGCGATAATAAAGCATTTATCTTTGATGTAAGCTGATCCATGTTCGCTTTTAAGGCCACGGTGTTCGTTAACGAATGCAACAAGTTTACTAATCCGCCATTGTTGTTGTCATGTGAGGCATTGTGGGATGCCGCAACCTGTGGAGTAGAGCTAGGCACATCTACCGTGACGTCACCAGTACTATTATTGCTTTCGTATTCTGGCCTTGTCGCTTGGTTGAACATTTTAACCAGTTCTGAATGCCTTGTATTTGTAGGTGGATTTATTCCTTTTTTGTTCAGTTCTTCCCTTAATTTAGCCACGAGCCAATTATCCGGCCGGGTAGGATCATATGGAGTACGTCGTGTAGTACGACGCTTTGGCACCATGTCTCCGATGCTACAGATTTGAACACACACTTGCAAGGATTGCAAAAACAACAAACCCCTGGAACGTACACTAGTAGTCTGTAGAAAAACACTCCCGGGAATAGCCGTTCATGATCACTGAAAAACGCAAGTTCAAGCGCACACGAGATTAATTCCACGTGTTTCGCGAAATGTAAACAAAGATGAAGATGCTGTCTCGTAATCCAAATACACGTTGCAATAAGGCTGTAAGTCTACATAAAGTTCCAAAGAAGGGTCCAAAAGATCACTGTCATATTATTCAATCGTGGTCAAAGTATAATTCGAATATCCAATGAAGTAGGTAAAAAGTATAAGTTGTCAAACTTTCTGAAAAACTTCCTGTCTTCTGCCTCTAACAATTTCTACTCTAATGCTTGTACCTGCTTCTCACTGGTCAATTTTGGCACGTGTATATTCTACTTAAATATAGTAACAGATCTATATATATATATATCTCATACAGTACGTTTATATGTCCCCTACTCCCTAACCCACATTATAGTATCTATATTACTGAAGACATGATGGAAGGGCCTTGCATTCATGTTGTGTATAAACTCAGATTAAATAAAATGTTCATGCAATAGAAGTAGAGGCTTTATTAAATAGAATTGAATAGTAAAAGTATCGACATTATGTCTATAAAAGCACCACGTAATTCTTGAATAAATACGGTATGCAGACGTTGGGTATACATTTCCACAAAGTGTTTTTCAATCTGAATATATTTAACCTCCCAGATATGATTAAATAATGTTTAACATGATAAACCCAGTTAAGTTCACAATTAGGCTTTTTGAAATTAAGCTCAAATCGTGCATCATAACATGCTTTTAGTACACAGTTATTTGTATTCAAATTATTTATCCAATATTTCATAATAGCTACTTTGGGCTTTATATGTAAAGAATATCTCCCTGTTTCAAAATAAACCATAGATCTATTGACTGTTTTCAGTAACGTTTAATTAATCTTTAAGAAAGAGAAGATGGACTTTTTCAATTTGCGATGATAAACAATTACCCCATACCTCATACCCATAGTTCAGTATGCATGTCACACATGTATAAAACAAAGATAATTTAGTTTCAGTGTTAAGGATCAAATCTTTCATTCTTCTCTTTAAAAGGTAAAAAGCTTTCTACCTGAGATACCAATGCATTTTGTGCTACGGTGAATCTTCTGTTATAATATAAAACTAATTCTAAATAACAAAATGTGTCCATTTTCTCAACTGATTTTGCCATTAAACGTCCAATTTTTAACAGGTAGGATTCTTTTACTTTTTCTAAAAACAACAATTTGTTTATCATAATTTTTTAACAGTTAAATTCCATTTATCAGTGTAGCATTGCAGATAATCTACTGAAGATTGTTAACATCTTCCGAAAACAAAACTGTGTCATCGGCATACATTACCATAAATAGGTTAATCAATTGTAATTCATAACCCTGACAATCAAGATCACCCGTAGTACGACCGTTAAGAATCTGAATTCCCGTTGACTTACATAACTATAGCAGACTACGTCCAAAAGTATTAATTTGTAGGTCCTCTGAGTTACGCGTAACGTCACATGGTTCCTGAGGGTAAGAAATAAAACCAAGTTGACGTTGGACACTTTCGTGTAACGCTATGGTTCTCTACCAGTTCGACAGTTAAGGTCCCTATTACAAATACTCTACCTAGGGCACTATAATTAGGGGATAGTACGTTGTTTTTCCTGTCTATACGGGCGATTAGAACATGAAATTTGGTACAAATGTACTACGCTAATGTGTTTAGCAACATTGTATTTCATTGTACAAAAGTAAGTAGTAAAGTACTCTGTGACTTGAACTGTCGACGTGTCATGATGCAGCGGACTGATCAATCAGAAAGAAGCTTACAAAAATCGGTCATTTGGCCCCGCCCATACCAGTTGGCGAGAGCTCGATCTGAATGTTGATGAGGCGGAATATTTTAATTGTTCGTGGACGACCTGTTACCAAAGTTTATACGACACATTTGGATTGAAATTGATTAAATTCTTATTTTTTCATGTCAGTATGCATGCCAATCTGTGCGTATCGACAAAATCGGCAATTAGCTAAGATTTGTGAAGAGTTTTGTGTAAATATTCATACGACACATGTGATATGTTGTATTTGATTTCGGATCTAACTACATGTAGATACCTTCACACGGATGGAACGAACGTTTTAGTAATTAAATGAGGTAGGAACAAGGAATGTTTACTTTATACATTTTTAATTTATTCAACAAATAAATTTCATCGGTCGGTCCTTTCTGTTCTGTTTTCTGCTATCCTTATCAACGGGATTTCGCTAAGAGGCGAGCTTGACGCCATACTGTTTTGGTTAGAAACGGGGCGTGGCTTAAGTGCGATGGGAGGAGCTTAACATGATTGATCATGATTCTATCGCAGATTATAACATGGTCCGTATCCAATCAAAACACGCGTTGCAAACGAATCGTGTTAGAATTACCAATATGGTTATCCAGTAGCCGAAAAAAGTCCTATTGGTACAAAGTTCGACAGTCGATTTACTTTCCATGAAATACTCGGGCTGGAATATAAACATAAGCTTTCGATCGATGTAAGCGGTTATCAAGCAAATCCATTACTTGGTAAACAGCGTTAAATTCACAATGAAGTAAAATTAACTTAACGTTGTATTTATGTTGTCAATAAAGTCTATCACAGTACAACACATATACAGTTAAGATACGCGAACGTAAAGTAGAGGTGGTCAATACTCCGCTACATTTTGGTGTAGCGCCCCAACTTGGTCCGGCAGTTTGGACAATTGTGGACGACGTCCTTGCAGCTATCCATGAAAAATGGGATGAGGAAACATCCAAGCACGCCTCTGAAAATATCAACAAGATAGCACGCAGTTAGGTGACTGTTACAAACATTATGTATTTTACAATAAGTATGAAAAAGTTTTTCATATTGTTAATCACTCTCGGTGGCCCGGATGGTAGATCTCAGGGGGTCTTAATTTGGAAGGAAGCTGAAGTACACGTAAGGGAAATGTAAATAAGGAAATGAGGAATCCGTTACGTGTGGGAAAAAACAAGTTGCTCAGATGTGTGAAAAACGAGAAGGTCAGACATGACACCCTGCTGCATGTTAACATGTCTCATTACGTGAATTCTGTTTTATTTTGACTTGTGTGATATACAAACAATACGCCATTACCAAGTGACGTCACATATTCTACGGTTGAGATACAACTTAAGTGTGCGTTGCATACAGCGCGGCAATAAATATATGTACATCGATACATTTTCGTAGTGCATGAACAATGTGTACGTCCGCGTAATAAAAAAGCGCTGTATCGGCGACCACAGACACAGCTATACGTGTCGAATTGTTTGTTTTGCCTTCCATTTTAACGTTACTTAATTCAGCCATATGACCAAAGTGCATGCTGATACAGTAAATCCTTAATACAATACCCCTTGATCAATTAACCACCGAGCTTACCGCCAACAATACCCCTCGATCAACTAACCACCGAGCTTACCGCCAACAACCCTCCTCGATCAACTAACCACCGAGCTTACCGCCAACAACACCCCTCGATCAATTAACCACCGAGCTTACCGCCAACAAAACCCCTCGATCAACTAGCCACCGAGTTTACCGCCAACAACACTCCTCGATCAATTAACCACCTAGCTTACCGCCAACAACACTCCTCGATCAATTAACCCCCGAGCTTACCGCCAACAATACCCCTCGATCATCTAACCACCGAGTTTACCGCCAACAATACCCCTTGATCAATTAACCACCGAGCTTACCCCCAACAATACCCCTCGATCAACTAACCACCGAGCTTACCGCCAACATAACCTCTCGATCAACTAGCCACCGAGCTTACCGCCAACAACACACCTCCATCAACTAACCACCGAGCTTACCGCCAACAAAACCCCTCGATCAACTAGCCACCGAGCTTACCGCCAACAACACACCTCCATCAACTAACCACCGAGCTTACCGCCAACAAACCCTCTCGATCAACTAGCCACCGAGCTTACCGCCACCAAAACCCCTCGATCAACTACCACCGAGCTTACCGCCAACAAAACCTCTCGATCAACTAGCCACCGAGCTTACCGCCAACAACACTCCTCGATCAACTAACCACCGAGCTTACCGCCAACAAAACCTCTCGATCAACTAGCCACCGAGTTTACTGCCAACAACACCCCTCGATCAACTAACCACCGAGTTTACCGCCAACAACACTCCTCGATCAACTAGCCACCAAGCTTACCGCCAACAACACCCCTCGATCAACTAACCACCGAGTTTACCGCCAACAACACTCCTCGATCAACTAGCCACCGAGCTTACCGCCAACAACACCCCTCGATCAACTAACCACCGAGCTTACCGCCAACAAAACCTCTCGATCAACTAACCACCGAGCTTACCGCCAACAACACCCCTCGATCAACTAACCACCATTAAGGCATCACGTGATTTTGTTTTGGTTTCGGTACCCAGAGACAAATGACAGATGTAAAATGAGCAGAGACGATACATAACATCACTTCATGTAATGTCATTTCGTCGATTGCTGTCATAACAGAATCGTCAAACCTAAATTGGATATCGGTCATGATATAATAAAATTCGTAGTTCATTGGAATTTAAGGTGATGATATTAACCACTTCATCATGTATAATGGCGAAGAAGAGTTCCACTAGAATCGTTTGGACAGGGAGTAATCCCATTTTTATGTAAAAGATGAGGCAACCAAAAACGAAGTGGTTTTTTTTTACTTAGAGTAACTTCCCCTGTCCATCAACTGGACACTATTTCTTATCCTTTGCAATTTTAATCCCAAGATGGCCAAGTCGATGACGCGAAGGCTTTGTAATATGAAAGTGCTAAGTACGACTGCTACTTTTTTGTTTACTTTTTTATTTTTCAAGCATTCGAATTTCGAACAACTGATATTCTGTTGGATGCACGGCAACATGTGTTTTTATGGAACACTCTTTTGAAAAGGCTTAAACAAATACATGTAGTTCCCAATGGTTTAAAAGGTATTCTTATTCATTGTTACTTGAGAGTTCCCATTACTTTAACATTGTTAACGTAGCCTATCTTACCCGAGAAGAGCGATGATGACACAGCAGATGATCGTGTTGACACCTGGTACAAAGGTCATCACAGTCACGATGTCTTGGCTACAGTTCGGACACTGCATTCGCTGTGGGGTGTCACGGAACGATTTGACGATAGGAGGTCCCGCGACAGGTGCGCTCGTTACAACAACCATGCCAGGCTGCCCAACCGTCTGCATCATCTGTGGCTGCTGGCCTGGAAAATTAATCAGGACTCACAATGAACAGCATATTCTAGTTTGTTTTACACTTATTGGGTAATAGAGTCGTAGACAAACCCACAGGGACTTGACACGTTCCTATGACCCAGTCAATAATATGTGATCTGGTGGTCGGACCATGGGGTATTTTTTCCATTCTAGGTCATTGGAAAGTGTCAAGTCCCTGTGCTCAGAGGAGCTATTCTTACTACAGAACAGACGGGAAGTATCAAAGTGGACAGATATGTGCCAAAACATGTAATAAGACACAATGTTTCAGCAAATGTCACAAGCGACAGGTGTTCTATGAAACTGTATTCCATTTGTTCAGCTTTTGACTTTCCCATTCCAATAATATTTCGCTTTTGTAGATTAAAACAGAGATGCCTTTTAACGACAACTTCTACAATAATAGTACATCCCAGTGTGCTAGTTCAAGGTCAGAGGCATTGAAAAAGTCTCTGAGTTCCTAAGTATCATCTGTGGCTAAATCCGACATGACGATAAGACACAGTGAAAACAAAGCTGGTCCCGATACTGATCCCTGCGGTATTCCGTGTATAACTTAAAGTATGTATAAATATATACGAAACAAAACATCGAAGACTAACGTTTGCTAGTTCTGTCGCCCATCTTGGGCTCTTCAGACTTTTTTTCTTCAGGGGAAGAGCCACAAGATGGGCGAAAGTACTAGGAAAATTTAGTGTTCGGTGTTTTGTTTTGTTTGTATTTATACTGTCACATGTACATTTAAATTTGTTTACCGCTACATATATAACTATTTAATGCTAAATGAGTGAATTGATGACAAGGAGGTTCATTTCAGTTACAGGCTCGAATCAGCAACCGAGTTGCTTTCTTGTGATTCTTGCCACATATTTGCTTCGTTTAAGGGTTTGGGTTTTATTTTGTTTAACGTCCTACCAACAGCTTAGGTTATTTAAGGACGATTGTTTGAGGGACTTTGTTTAACGTCTTATTAACAACTTAGGTCGTAGAGAAAAAGTCTGAACAGTTCAGGTTGATTAACTAACTAACTTCAAACTATCATGGAAGTGATACATATATTTGTTGCGATTAAAACAGAAACAAAAGCCGTTGTGAACAATGGCGGTCGCGAGGTCCAGTGGATATACGCGCCAGTAAAATATAAAGTTACGACTCATCTAAAAGTAAAATTTGAAAAATTGTCGTTGAATACCAAGCGAACGACAAATGATAAAAGATATAAAACAAATGAAGAGAATGGAGTCGAATAATTTCACAATTTATTTTTAACATAATTTATATAATTCCTTGTCCTCAGTTACTCCAGAATAGGCGCCCGCCTATTTTTACAGGACGTGCACCTGACTTAACCGACAAAGCTGTGTCGTTCATACATGTATATGAAAGAGCAATCTTGAATTAATTCACCCGTTGGTGGTCATTGCAACCGATGCGGTGTGGATGTTAACTATACTTCTCCGGGTGATAGTATGCCATATCGCCCTCTCATGAATGTACTCTTCATACAAGTATGGTTGTTGGTTTAGACCTACCCAAATATTTAATTTATAACTGACTTAATTTCAAAATTGATTTGTTTGTTTTGGCCGACAAAAACCTGTTTCAGTAATCGTCTTATTGTATTTGTGGCATTTTCCCAAAGTATTACTTATCTACGGTATATAGATATTCAACTTATATTGTTTGCATGAAAGTCAGTAACAACTGCCCGCTAACAACAACTGTGTGTTAGGTCGAACGCTTAACTTTAACAGGCGGGTTGTGTAATCCTGTATTGACGAGAGCATTTTAACGGAGCCGATTTAATTTCAGATCAATGTATATACCTCGGAACGTTGTCATTGCCTCCGGCAGCCGTTATTGTTGGACATTACAATTAGAGTGGACCTGTTCAACTTATAGGGTTTAATTTGCTTTCTCCTCGGCTTAATGGAATCACAATCGATATATAGTTTCAAAATCGATCGCACACATTCAGGCCTTTCCGACAGACTCAGAAAACTACAAAACTTTCCCTAAATATCAAGAAATATTTAGTTCTCAGAATCATGCAAAGAATCAAGTCACTCCGAACATTTCACGCCAAATATCCGGTTTAACAAATATCCGGTATATCAAATATTCGGAATTCATGAATTATGCAAAACTGTACCTTCTTTAATATTATCTGACCGTCCTTATTATTTTTTCCAACCCCTTCTTTTTTGTCATTTTTGAAGAAAGGGCGATCTCTATATAACATAAGTATACATCAAGAGAGCACAAATAACATTTTCGACTGACCTACCATACCTGTATGGGCATGTAAGTGGAAACGCAACTATTTATATGATCGGCACGAAAAAGAATGATCGAAAAAAGGGCACATCAGTCATTGAATTTGTGTTTCCAACGAGTTAACCATCCTGATAACCGGGGACTGCCGTATACAAATGTAGCATCCGAATAAACGAACGTATAACATCGGAATTAAAGGTGTTTTACTTACTGTACACATTGAGTTTCCGCATTAACGAATTCCTACTGTACACTTGTATAATCCGGATTACGTGGTTCTACTGTACCGTGCAGTATCCGGATTATTGAGGTTAATGTTGTAGTTTCAAATTCCATCCCCCGCGAAATCGTTAAAAATATCCTCCACGGGACAACATTCTGCTATAAGATAATCGGATGACGTTCGTCTCTACGCTGAAAGTAAACGTCGATTGGTTTTACTGAATTAAGTGTCCTGTTAACAGTTAGGGTCATATAATGACATTAAAATGCACGTGTCCATATCCAGCTACCGTAAAAATCATCCAAAAAGCATTTGCCTTGCTACATGAAATATAGCAACGTATATTTGAGATCCAACCGACCTCGTCTACAACAGTTACGATAGTTAAAATCGTGTTAAGTATAAATTGGTGTTGTAAGCTAAAAGGTAGATGAAGAGTTTTTCCAATCACGATACCATTTAGTGTATGATTTGTACGTTTATGTACGTCAACGAAATGGTAAAGACAGACGAGAGGAGCATGTTATCAGCGCGGGTAACATCTCATACGGTATCGTTTAACTGCAGATGATGACACATTATTTAGAAACAACAATACGCATGTGTTTATCTTTGTACACCAACAAAAAGTATACACGCTTATAGATGATTCAATAAATATACGCGTCTTTTCGGTACCGTCGACATAAAATTTCAAACACGAGCTCTCCGCATAACAGAAATATTGATTCGTTATTTTTTGGAATGATCTCGATAGTTTTTGTTTCATATGTCCATTTGAAACAAAGAGCTGGAAGTGGAAAACACGTTCATTTTTAGATGGTGACTACTCCGTTTTATGCGGGTTTTCACTGTTTCATAAGTGCTTGTAAACAAAGATGTGATATTTCCCCTATCAAACCTCTACATGACTTCTAATTATCATCAATAGACAATTATTACCTGGGTTGTATCCGACCTGTTGTTGCATGCCTGGGTATGGTTGTTGTTGCATGCCTGGGTATGGTTGTTGTTGTTGTTGCATGCCTGGGTATGGTTGTTGTTGTTGTTGTTGTTGAGCCATCTCAGAATATTAAAAAAGACACGTCCGTCCGAGAGCCAATACCACTGCCGAGTTAGACGTATTTAGTTTTATTCAGTATGATATGTCCGGACTTGACCAGTGACCGCTACACATGCACGTTTAGGCTGTGGTCAATACTGACCTACTAGGGTGCCGTCGGCATTTAATATGCCTATTGACCTACAACTAAATGTTCTAAAGAACAAATATTTACCAGCGTTCTTTAGCAACACTCAACAGTATGTGCTACCAGTGTTTTACCACTACTTTGTCTATTGCGTATATTGAAATTACTGGTCCGGCCCGGGGGTGGGGGCTATTGTTTTATGGTCTATAATCAATTCCTAATTATCAAATGCATTTTTTTTTTATATTGAGTGTCACATATCGACATACAATAAGCTTGTGTTATCATAGTATTGTAATAATTTAAAGTATCACAAGCTCAAACAGCACATTTAATTACAGTTTGACATGTTGATATCCAGCCGTTATACATTGTACTAACTGGTGATACACTGGTACAAGTAATTAACACGTGTGTTGATTTCTGTTTAAAACACACACACCATCCCGCCAAAAAAATGAAATAAATAAATAAAAAATAACCCAACACAATCCAGACACGATCCCATCCCACCCCACCCCACCTCTTCATTCACTCATACACAGTAATAGGTGTCCGTCTGTTATGGCTTAGACCGAGGAGCTTAGCTGTGTTTGGCATAGATTCCTGCAAATCTATACACAAAATATAAGAAATCTTGCAAGGTATTCTATTCTTAGATACGAATTGTTTTTAATTTTTATCCAGTATTAATGAGCTGTTAAATCGTAATATGAACTTTAATTAGCAGTTTCTGCAACACCACCTGAGCTATATATGAGATACCGCCCAATGAGTGTGTGGGGCCTGTACGCCCGCACTCTAACATCAGAAACGACTGACGTGTTTATCCTAGTTTCACACTGCTGAGCCCTAGGATCAAACAGTAATAACGATACACATGTATTTCCCCTTTGAGCAGAGGATTAGTTATATCAACTTATCACCGCCTTATTTACATGATAGCATTCAACAAGGCAAACATACCATATTATACAATTATTATATTTTACTTAAAACCTGTTGCTGGATTTGATGAAAAGTTGCACGCGCTTGAATACTTCTGTATTAGTATCTACGGAAAGATTTTAATTTGCCTGACTATTTCATTTATAAAAGTGTTCCTTCAGTTTCAAAATACAAGACTAGTTTTGCCTTTATATTTCCCCCCATTTATTTCCTAACTTAGCCATACATTATTAAGTAATTTCCAGAGTTTAAGAGCTCTGATATCATTCACCCTAAGTTGCAGCCACTGTCCCCACACAAGGCTTTGACATCGTGCATTCTTACAGTCCTCGATGTTTTCTTTATTTAATTAATTCTGTACTTTGATTTGTCTCCTTCCTCCCTATAACTCTATTCACTGTCAGTGAGAGACGAGCACGTTCATCTTTTTATATATTGTTTAAACCCCCTCACTTGTTGTATAACATATATATTGTATTAATCCTATATATTATGTATAGCATGTACATATCATGTATCTATCATAAGTGTAATCATATATCTCATTCCCATACAGACATTTCACAATACCATCATCCTCGAAATCCAGAGGTTACAGGCCTGCTATACAAACTTTATGAAATTGACTTGAACTCGAAAGTATGGAAATTACTGAAAGGAATGTATACTGGTGTCAAAAGTTGCATTATTTTTAATGAATTACAATCAAGATGGGGTACCCATGGAGAGAGGTATTTTACAAGGGAGCGCATTATCTGCGAAAAATGTATTTAGTTTTTATTAGAATGTTGTTGAAAAATATTGAACAGAGTGGCAACGGATCAATGATGATTGACATTAGAGTTAATATACCCACTCAAGCTGATGATAAATGCCTCGTAAGCAATAAATATACTGATTTGTAATATATGCTACGGATGTGTGAAGATTATAGTAAAAAATGGAGATTTTTGTTTTCTACCAACAAAAGTAAGATTATGTATTTTAATAAGAACAAAAAAGTGAAATGTGCTACTAGTTTTTATTTATATGATTATATTATACCGGAAGTTGAAGATATTGTTCACGTTGGTATCATGTTAAATAATAAATTCCAAACATATGAACGTACAATGCGTGCTTGTAGCAAATTAAAAAGTGGTACAATGAGTTAAATTAAGAGTGGTGCACATCATAGCTGGTAACTCCAGCTACTGCCGGAAAACGTATTAAACGTATATGCGTCTGCACTATATGGTTATGAGTTATGTGTTTTATCAAAGAAAGAATTACTTATGTTAGAGAGAGCGCAAAGATTTATTTTAAAATCAATTTTAAAATCAATTCAAGGTTTTAGCAACAGAACAGGTACTGATATGTGCTGTGGATTGATTGGATGGACATCCATAGAAAGCTATATAGATACAAGAAACTTGTTGGTTTTGGAAGGTTGTGTTATTTAGATAAAAAATACCATGTCATCAGGTATATTATTAAGAAGACTATACGCATCATTGCTGAACAGATCTGGTGACCATTTTGGACTTTTAAATAATATTTTGAGAATTTTTAAAAAGTACAATTTTTATAATATGTTGAACAAGTATGTTCGAACGAGTGTGCTAAAAAGGCAATGGAAAATAATTGTGAATAAATCTGTGTTGTTGAAAGAGGAACATGAATGGAAAGAACGAATGTCAAATGATAGTGATTTTAACAGATTTGTAATGGTTCATAATATATTGCAACCACATATACTATGGAAACTGGCAATGAAATTCACGGAGTTTAAAGATTCCATATAATATGTTACGAAATTAATAGTTAATATTCGTACTGGTAAAGCCAAAGAGCTATGTCATAGATGTGGTATTATTTACCAAGATATATTAACTTATATTGTATTAAAGCGTAGCTGTGCCTGAGTGCTCTATCGCAAACATTAGTGATACTGGTACACTGCTGAGTGCGTACATACACTCTCTGACAGATCACGAATTAATTCATATTTTAATTGGAGACAAATACTAACGAATTAAATGTATTAGACATGAATGAATTTAGATTGAAATCATTAGCAGCTGTCGAAAAGATGCACAAATTATACTATCGGTAGTGTGTAGATATAATCTCACACCCTGATAAAGATTAATACAAATAAAATGAAAATAGAAAATAATATAAATGTTTAATATGATATGTATGTATAACATCATCATATATTCACTTATTAATGGTATTTATTGAATGTATGACTTCAATGTAATTAAGTGTGTATATGTCATGTATGTTATTTGGTGCTTATGTGTATTCAATATGATTTTTTGTAATGTAAATATGTGCATATTATGCTGTTAAAATGTAATCTTCAAATTGGAGAAAATAAAGAGAATAATAATAATTATCAACAAGGTGGTGCACACCGAGGCTTCAATTTTGCTATGACATATATATTCCAGGGGTGTAGTGAGCGTAAGTGAGCGTGGACATTTTGGTATCCATGGCAACTACTTACAAGCCATAAAATCCTTGTACCATGATATGAAGGATATTAAGAATGTCCTGAGTTTTGAAGATGATGATAAGTGGCAGTTGTCTTTGTGGGATGACACAAACAATGTAAATGGTAATAAACTGCGTACATATAGAACTTACAAGTATGAGCCTGTCACTAGCGATTATGTAAAATCTGTACATCTCAAATGTAAAAGATTTTTTTATTTAACTTTATATGTGGTTCCTTGTCCCTAGGCATGCCCGACCTGTGATTCCTGTCAATAATAGGTTATGCAAATTGTGCAAAATGATGCAGAAAACGAGTATCATTTTTTAATGGAATGTATATTTTATGATGATCTTAGATCAGTAATTTTAACGAAAGTAAACAACGTATATAATTTTTTCAATGATATGAACAAATGTGAACAGTTCATATATGTGATGTGTGAACCAGTTCTCGAAAAGACACCAGCTACCCAACTTTCTCTTATGTGTTGGAGAAGAACTATGTTTCTCCCATATTAAATTATGTATTATAATTAGATGTGCAGGTATCGGGTGGGGGATATATAATTTGTCGGTAGGGATGGGCCCAACCACTTCTGTATATCTCTTTCCCTGTTGGGGTACATGGTATTATATATATATGGAAATTATAATCCTGCTACAAATAAAATGTTATCAAGCACAACTGTTTTTACAAAAACTGGTTAACAACATTACATGTTTGAAGATAGTTTTAAAAGTAAATAGTGTGATTATTCTTTTAACGTGTCTAATAAGTCATTTTGGCTAGACACATTTTATATTCAAAGGTATACATGTATTGTGATTTTATGAATGCTATGTGTTTGACACGAAACTGAAATATTTGAACTTGAACTTGATATCGAGGATGCAATACCATGTAACCCACCACTTATCAATATGGATATACTTTTCCTCTTCTATAAAGTAAACTGCGACGTATCGCCATTTGTTGATCACGTATTCGTTATAGGGTTTCAATGGTTTCCATTCAATTTGTTACGCTCCTCTTCCGTGATTGATTCAAATCTCTAAATCATTTGTATTGTGTTGCATTACTTACCTTGATTCAACGAAAGTCCATCGGTCATACACAATTTGATGAACATGGTAAAAAAAACCAAGAAGATATTTCATTTGAGGTAATGTAAATAATGAAACAATTTAAAGGTAATTATTTCCACACCGAGTCTGTAAGTCTCGTGTCGAGAAAAACAAGTTTAAGTTGATGATGTGAACTCCAACTGGAGAAAGGCTAATTAACAGTGTTTAGCAAAGTCATGTCAACTTTGCCATTTCAAAATTAAAAAATATCTAAATCCGTAAAAATAAATATTGTTTAAATATTGATTTCCATGTTGAAATCTTATTCTGTATATATGGACA